TGCCTTCCCTACCCTCAGAATGCTGATGCCACAGCTGCCTCCCAGGGCTTGCCTGTTCAGCTATGCCTCCCTGGTCTGTACTTAACCTTCCTCCCAGACTTCCTTTGTCCCATTCAGGACTTACGTAGCCAGGAAAGCTTGCCTGGTCTGCTTTTCCCATCAGTGGCTGCACAGCAACTTCCAGGGCCTCCTAGGCAATGGTCACCTTAGGACCTGTGTGTGGTACTGGTTTCTGAGGTCCAGGTCTCCTTCCCAGACCTAGCAGCCCTGTTTGGGGCATTACCTGAGAACATCTCAGTAGTACTATATGTGTGTGTACTTGTTCATGGGGAGGGGGGTTGCACACACGCGCATGTGCACTCTTGCATGTGTGCATGGAGTCAGAGGTCAATGTCAGAACAAATGACTTTCTCATTTATTCTGTGTCAGGTCCAGTGCTGACACAGCTGTTCTCACTTCCTCCCCTACCTTAAACTTCCCTTGCTCTCAGACTTCCCTCCCCCAGCTACTCATCCTCCTTATAACCCTGCTATTTTGACTGTGCCCTCCCTCTCTTTGTCTTCACCTTCACCTGCCCCCTATAGCAACCCCCCCCCCCACATCACTCTGCTCTGCTCTGCTCCTGCTTCTCTCGTGGACAGGTCCAGTCTGCTGGCCATGTTCAGTCTACTGCTTTATGTCTGTCCTGGACCCTTCCAGATGCCTCTGGCTGTCCTCGCTCTCATATCCACAATAAAAACCTTCCCCTTAACCATACCATGAAGCAGTCATAGCACCCGTTTATCCATCTGGCACCCTATTTTTTGCAATAGGGTCTCTCACTGAGCCTGGAGCAGATTTTCCAAGGCAGGTTGGCCAGCCAGTGACCTACAGGATTCTGCCTGTTTTCACATCTTCGGTGTTGAAATCTCAAGTGCTCATTGTTGCACGCGGTTTGTTTGTGTTCACATGGGTGTAGGGGATCAAGCGTGGGACCTTGTGCTTGTGTGGCTAGCACTTTGCCAACTGAGCTGTCTCTATTTTCCTCTCCCTGGATCTTGTACTTTGTGAGCTCATGCAAGCAGACACTCTTGGTCTTCCTCTTGGCTGTGCCTCCATCTCCTTGCACAGTGGTTGATTCACAGTCCCATTGATGAGACTCGTGGCATGAAGGAATCTCAGCCGAGTGTGGAAGTCACAGTTACTTAGCATCACCTTGACCATGAGCCAGAAAGTGCAGGGAGACAGGTAGCTCTTCCGGAAGCCAGAGGGTGTCTACACTGTGGTAGCAGAGTCCTGAGACAGAAAGCCAGTGTCTTAGACTGGGCACTGCCAGGGCCTCTTGGAGCCCCCTCCAATAGACTGAAGTGCAATCTACAGATTTAGGGCTCACAAAGTGCTTTGAAATGAATTTAAATTCATTGCCACTATTGAAAAATTGGAAGAGTTTATATAGCAGATTTCAGCATGCCTTGAAAACTCTAGAAACTCTGATACTGCCAGACCTGTACTTCTTAATGGGAGCCCCTAGCTGGCTCCAAAAAGAGACAGTGTCAGTTCTATGTCCTCAGGCCATCCCAGACCTTCCCCTGAGGTTAGCATGAAAAGTACAGTGGCCAACACCCTGTCTCACCTGGAAGCCTATAGCTGTGTTGCCTTCCTGAGGAGCAGGCTGGGAGCTGGTGTCCAGGCTTTTATGATACACACCACCTCACCAGGGCATCCTGGCTCTGTATGTAGGGTTGACCAGCTGGCCTGTTGCTCTGGGAGGGATGAGACCATGATGCTGAGCATCCTCAGAGGCAGGGACACTGACCTGTCGCCGTGCACAAGGATAAGGACCAGTGTCTGCTCCCTCTGCTTCCTCTCACTTTGGCCCTGGCTTATGATTTTGTCACCATCTGTGGTGATATGAATAGAAATGGTCCCCATAGGCTCATAGGAAGTGGCACTATTTGAAAAGATTCGGAGGTATAATTTTGTTAGAATATGTTGGAAGAAATATGTCATTGGGGGTGAACTTTGAGGTTTCAAATGCTCAAGCCTGGTCGAGTATCTCGCTCTTTTCCTGCTGTCTGTGGCTCCCGATGTAGAACCCTCAGCTCCTCTCTAGTACCATGTCTGCCCACATGTTGCCATGCTTCCCGCCATGCTAATAATGAATTAAACATCTAAGGCTATAAGCAAGCCTCAACTAAAGACTTTCCTTTATAAGAGTTGCCATGGTCATAGTGTCTCGTCACAGCAATAGAACAATGACTAAGACACAATCCTGAACCCAGAGAGGCAGAGGTTAGCTTTGTGCTAATGGGAAGGGTGACTTATTTACCTTGCCAGCCCCATGAGCCCCAGATTGGATCAGAAGTAGCCCTAAAAGTCAGTCTTATCTTGTGCCTCCTGTGCTGGCAGGCCCATGTGACTCTTCTGTCCCTTTAAACTGGTTTTTGGCTCGCGGGTCATTGGTATGAAAATCGGCTGAAGAGGGGACCTGGACTCAGTGTCATGCTGTAACCAGTGCTGTGCATGTCTGCAGCCCATTGTCATATGATTCCCTTTCAATCCTATGTTCCCAGTGCCCCAACAGGGATGGTGCACAGGAGGACACTTCCAGCAACTCTTGACACTGTCCTCACTGCCTTAGTCCGCGACTGCTGTGATGTCCATGTTATTACTTCTCCACTTGCCGTACATAGACACCTGTTTTTGCATATATCTCTGTGGTGATTAGTGTGAATTGAGACTTGTCCAAGCATTTAGTGACTGTACTTCCTATTGTGTGTTCTCCTCAGTGATCTGTGTATTAGTGAGAATTAAGGTTTTGGTTAGAGGTGCATGAATCTATAAATGTGGTAGGATTAACAATGTCCCTGCCCTGGTCATTGCAAATGCTTTCCTTGTGTGTTTCTCATGGGCCCATGTGTGTGGCTTTCTGTTCTTTGGAGAGTAGGAGTGTGGTTCTACATGGCCCTTTGACATCTAACCCAGTCTTGCTGTCTCACATAGAGAGACCTCCCCAGAAAGCAGGGCCACAGGCAGCAGATGTTACTAGGAGAGAGGGTCCTAATGCCCCTCTTTCTGAGCTGCCACTCAGTGTCCTCTGACCTTGGGGGCCCTTGCTACTGTCTTGGCTTAGACAGCATGTCAGAGCCAAGGCTTGTGAGTCTCCCCTGCATGGAAGCAGACTTTGTAGGCTCTGCCTCACATGTACCACTGCCCCTGTGCATGTGTGCATGAGGATGGTGGCCAGAGCCAGCTGTTCCATCTTTCTGACTCAGAGAATCTAAAAATACCTTGGAATGGGTGTTTGGAGGGAACTATGATCAACCTGTGAGTGTTAAGCTCTCAGGAGTCAGCGTGTGTGGGTTTGAACTGCATTTCCCCCAGAAGATGCAATCATCTCCGCAGTACAGATGGTGCTCCTGCCCCCTGCAGTAGCCTCCTAGGTGTCTTGTCTAATAGTCCTGAGCCAGGGTGAGGATGCTTCCTCCACCACTAAGCATGGCTGTCCCAGGCTTTTGCTGTTCGGCTGCTGCCCCTTGGTATTGGTAGGAAGGGCTTCCAGAATGGCAAATACATCCTGAGCCAGTGCCAGAAACAGGGTTCTCATGCCCTCTCAGCTCCACGAGTGTGTTCCCAGTGAGGTGTGCTCATTCATACACCAGATGCTCAGTAGATTCTGCACTGGTTCACACATGAATCTAGATGAAAGGCTAGTGCCAGGTCAGCAGGGACTGTAATTGATTTTGAATTGCTGTGGATTGAAGCCTCTCAGAAGATGAGCACGTGAGCCTGGCCTTGAGGGTGAACAGGATTCTGCAGTGGGGATAGAGAATGAGAAAGGGAAGGAGAGAAAGAAGAGATGGGTAAAAAAGAAGGGAGAGGAGGAGGAATTACTCCAGGCATCGTGATCAGAGCACAGGAGGTGACTTCCCGTTGGTATCCAGGCAGCTGCAGCACAGAAAAGGGGAAGAGCAGGGTAGAACCACAAAGAGACTGAGCAGCAGCAAGAGGCCTGGAGGGGCGACTAAAGAGAAAGGGTCTCTGAAGGCTGCTGCTTAGCAGGGTGCCACTTTTCTTTTTGACCGAGATTAATTAATTTTATTAAAGTAGTTATTTTATAATACATCTCTACACTAATGCAGAATGCTGGCTGAAGTCTGGAAAAACATGAATAGTTAACCGTGGCATCCATACAATGCCTTCAAAACTCAGGGGGTGACATTGTCTTTTTTTTTTAACTTTTTTAATTTATTTATTTATTAAGGATTTCTGCCTCCTCCCCGCAACCGCTTCCCATTTCCCTCCCTCTCCCCCAATCAAGTCCCCCTCCCTCATCTGCTCAAAGAGCAATCAGGGTTCCCTGACCTGTGGGAAGCCCAAGGACCGCCCACCTCTATCCAGGTCTAGTAAGGTGAGCATCCAAACTGCCTAGGCTCCCCCAAAGCCAGTACGTGCAGTAGGATCAAAAACCCACTGCGATTGTTCTTGAGTTCTCAGTAGTCCTCATTGTCCGCTATGTTCAGCTAGTCCGGATTTATCCCATGCTTTTTCAGACCTAGGCCAGCTGGCCTTGGTGAGTTCCCGATAGAACATCCCCATTGTCTCAGTGTGTGGGTGCAAGCAGGGTGCCACTTCCACAGCTACTGAGGACAGTGAACCAGCAGGAGCACTGTGCCTGGCCGATGCTGGCCGCCAGTGAAAATGGGCATCATTATGCTCTGATTTGGTTGGCTGGAGCATGTGGAGATGTAGTGTGCTGCTTAGATGGGAGGGACACTGCCGCTGGTGTCCCTGGGCTCCTTCAGTTAGCAAGTGCCAATGGCATGCTACCACATGGCAGCAAAGTGGGCATAGGAAACAGACTCTGGCTGGTGGCATCCCAGATTCTGTAGGTACAGAGATGATCATCAGTGCAGGAAAAATGTGACTCATGGTTTCCTCGGGTTGATTTGTGATCAGTGACTTTCATTGGGGGACTGGCCTTCTCATAGTGACAGTGTTTATGTCTGTTTCCATTCCAGATGCCATAAGGCTTCTGAGCTGCTTGAGACTCAGCCTTGGTGGCCAGAGGCTCCCAACACACTTGTGTGTGTTTGCAGCTTCAGGAAACTGCTCCTCAGCCTGTGCCTATCCTGTTTGGCAGCCCGGCTACCATGGAGGCCCCAGAAGTCCCTATGGGCTCCCTGATCGACTTTGGAACTGAACCACCTACCTCTCCGCCCCTGGAGGCAGCCCCTTCAACACTCCAGGACCCAGATGGCTCCTTGGGTGACGGTGCATCTGAGAGTGAGACCACTGAGTCTGCAGACAGTGAGAATGACATGGGCGAGTCACCCTCACACCCGTCCTGGGACCAAGACCGCCGCTCTTCCTCCAATGAGTCCTTCTCCTCCAATCAGAGCGCTGATTCAGCTCCAGACGAGGAGACCCTGGCACTTCGAGAGTTCATGCGCAACTACGTAGAGAAGATCTTCTCTGGAGGGTAGGCCCTTTGTGGGAAGAAGGATGGACCCTCTTTGGGATGGAGGCTAGGCCCTTTGTGGGATGGAGGCTAGGCCCTCTGTGGGATGGAGACTAGGCCCTTTGTGGGATGGAGACTAGGCCCTTTGTGGGAAGGAGGATGGGCCCTCTTTGGGATGGATGGTGGGCCCTCTGTGAGATGGAGGGTAGTGAACCCTCTGTAGAATAGAGAGCGGACCCTCTTTGGGAAGGGAATTAAACCTTCTTTGGAATGCAGGGTAGGCCTTCTAAGGATACTAGCCTGCTGTCGAATCCCGGGGACCTGCTTCCTACTATAGGCCATAGTGGCTCTTGGCCATCCTAGGCTGCCTATAGAGTCACCTTGTGAGGTTTTAAGAAGTTTCAGTCCTGGGGGTTGGGAACTTAGCTCAGTGGTAGAGTGCTTGCCTCACAAGTGCATGGTCCCAACTTGGTCCTCAGGGATAAAAGGTAAAGACTTCCCAGTCCTGGACTCTACCAAAGACAAACTAATACCTGTTCCCTGGAGCAACAGGTCACATACCTACAGGCTGCCTGGACTGTCTAGGAAACAGCATATTGACAGCTCTTAGGTGGGATGCCAGCACCAAGGGTGTCATGGAGGGAATGGTCTGCAGCCTGGCCAGGCCCATGTTCTCTGCTTATCCTAGTGGTGCGGGAACACAGACTCAGAATAGCCAATTCATCCATTTCCCCTTCATTTTCTCATTTCATGAGTGGCTCTGCCTAGACCTCATGGGGACCAAGGAAGCGATAGGAGGCTGTCTACCATGGTGTCTTCAATAGCCTGTATGGTATGGGCTGTGCCCTTATTGCCACACAGGCAGAGGACGCTGTAGAGAAACCATGATAAGCTCTGTTAGTTGTTGACATATGTCATTTCATAATTTTCTTTGTGTATTCTTTTTTCCTAAGGGTATTGAGGATTGTCTTAGTTACTTTTCTATTGTGAAGAGTCACCATAACCAAGGCAACTTATAAAATAAAACTTTTATTTAGGACTTACAATTTTAGAGGATGAATCATGACAACCATGATGAGGAGCATGGCAGCAGACAGACAGGCATGGCACTAGATCTAAGCATTTATATCTTGATCCATAAGCACAAGGCAGAGAAGGATAACTGGGAATGGTGTGGGTTTCTAAACCTCAAAGCCCACCCCCAGTGACACACCTCTTCCATCACGGCCATGCCTCCTAATTCTTCCCAAACAGTTTCACCAACTGGGGACTAAACATTTAAATGTGTTAGCCTATGGGGCCATTGTCATTCAAGCCAACATAGAGATAGAATGTCCAGGCCTCATACATGCTAGGCAAGTGCCTTTTTGTTGAGCTATTCCCATAGCCACTCTGCGTTCGTGTGTGTGTGTGTGTGTGTGTGTGTGTGTGTGTGTGTGTATGTGTATGTGTGTAGCTGGGTCTGGCCTGCGTAGTTATGCCTGTGTATGCAGGTATGCATCCCTGTGAGTGTGCAGAGACCAGAGGTTGATGTTGGGTATCTTCTTTATTCTCTCTTCACCTTTTTGAGAAGTCTCTTCTGAACCTGAGGCTCCTTGGTTTGGCTGGTCTGACTGGTCAGTGAGCCCTCAAGATTCTCCTGTGCCTGTCCCCAGCCCTGGAGTTACAGGTGCATGCTAGCTTGTCTAGCTTTTATGTGGGTGCTGGGATCTAAACTCAACTTCTCTGTTTACCAACTGTGTCCCTTCCACAACCCTTCTCTCTGTGGGATTCCACTCTGCACCCCCAGCTCCACTGACACCTGTCATACTTTGTTGTTGCTTTGGCCTCCCATAGCCACTCTGCATTCGTGTGTGTGTGTGTGTGTGTGTGTGTGTGTGTGTGTGTGTGGTGGGAGGGAACAACTTTAGGAGTTGGTTCTCACTTTCCACCTTGTTGAGGCAGGGTTTCTCTTGCTATGCTGCTGCATGGCTCATTATAGACTAGCTGGCCCATCAGAGCCAGCTTTTCACATGGGTTCCAGGAATCAAACTCAAGTCATCATGCTTGCCCAGTAGTAAGTACCTTTATCCCCTGAGTCCTCTCCTGGCTCTCTGTTGTGGTTCTTGAAGGAGCAGAGGCCCGGGATACAGATGCTGGGTTAGAATATGGCCTGAGCAGGGATATCTCTGGGTGGGCCCCCTAGCTCTGCCTGTCCACGTCACTGTTAAGTGGTACCTCAGCTGGGACAGGGAGGTAGGTGCCAGCCCAGAATCCGAAGGTCCTGGGTGTAGCACTGAGATGTTAGAAGCTACATCAGCATGCCAGAACTTAGGGTCTTTACGGACCAGCCGCATCCGCATCTCCTGAGTGCTGGAAATGCAGAGCTTCAAGCACTGCAGCTCCTCTGGGTGTGCACCTGGATTCTGTCAAGCCTGTCTTGTGGGAGACAGTCTGCCCACAGCTATAGTTTTGAGGTTTATGGCTTGATGGTCCACTCTCATTAAAATCTATACAAATGTTTGCTTGTTGGTCTACAGCTGGGGCTCATCTGGCAAAGTGCTTGCCCAGTGTGCACAAAACCCTGATTTAATCCCAAACAATTCATAAACCAAGCATGGTGGCATATATTAGTGATCCCAGCACTTGGGAGATGGAGGCAGGAGAATGGAGAGGTCAAGATCATCCTTGGCCACATAACAATTTGAGACAAGACTATTATAAAGACTCTTACCTTAAATATGTATATAATATATAAATTGTAATATTAATTATAATATTATAATTACGACAGTAAATATATTATATATTTATAATATTTTAGACATTATTTCTTATAATTAATATATTAATATAATATGTTAATATTATATATTTTATATGATTGATAATATTATTATTGTCTGGTGACAATCCCATAAGTACAAATGACATAAGCTGGCCAGTATCCAGCCTTCTGCTCCGTTTTCTTCTTTAAATTTGAGGAAAATGTTTGACTGCTCACAGGGAGGACTTGGACCAGGAAGAGAAGGCCAAGTTTGGGGAGTACTGCAGTGGTGAAGACGGGAAAGGCCGTGAGTGGTTCGCACGGTTTGTGAGCGCACAGGTGAGTACAAGGTGGGCAAAAAGGACCAGCAGCCTGGCCAGCACCAGCACGGTGAAGAGAACAGAGGGCATAAGCTGGTAGAATGAGGCCAGAGACAGCTGGGGCAGCATGGAAAGGCTACCCCTGACTGGACGGAGTGAGGACTATGGCAAGCTCGACATTTCTATTTCGGAGGCAAGCATGTGGGCTCTGTCCATGCATGTTTTTTATTAAATAACCCATAGTATTCAAATTTTGTCAAAACATTTCAAGGTTGTGAAAGGCAGGTAAAACCTGACATATTGCGAAAGCGTGGGAAGAATCCCATCTTGCATATTCCCATTATAGGGATGCATTCTTCGTAGAGAAGTTAGAAAATGCAGAAAACAGTAATTAGCAAAGCCCGGAACAGCCAGTTGTCGCCTGGGGTTCTATTGCACCGTACTTCTCCCCCATGGAGAAGCTTTACGAAATCCTGTGAGGACAATGCAGGAGAGCACCTTCTGGGCTCCAGTGCTGAGTGCCTGTGTCCTGCCCAGAGACCTGGCAGAAGGGAAGCAGCCATTGGGGCCCATCTAAGAAGCGTGGAGAAATGCAGAGTGACAAGCATCCAGCCTTGCTGACCTGCTGCGTGTCACCAGGTCTTGCTGATTTTCCTGGTTCTTTCTGCACAGCGCTGCAAATCCAAGTGTGTGTCTGAGCCAACCTTCTACCGCCTGGTGCAGTCCTTTGCGGTGGTGCTGTTTGAGTAAGTGATGTCCTCCCCAGAGCCCATTTTTCCCACCCGTGATGAACCAGCTGTTACCCTCTTTTGGCTAGAATTCATGACCAGCATCTTCTGGGCTCCCTCCTGCCTTGGCGGGAGATAGGGTTGTTCCGTTTGCCCTTCTCATTCACAGTACAGCGTCTGTAACTGGACTAGTATGATTTCCTCTTTTTAAAAGCTTCTTTCTCTCCATTTGTTGGCTAAGTCGAATGGCTGTGTGAATATTCCATTAACGTTTGATTGTAATCTTCAGCATACCACGGTACAGTAAGAGCAGCCCTTTGCATTTGTAGAATGCCACACAGTCTGTCACTTTCCTTGTATACAATAGTTTGTTATGGTTTTCAACAAGTGACACAGAAGACTTGTGTATTTATCTACTGTGGTTCATAAGTGCTACCCCTGTACCTGGGGTCTTGTGAATTATGTGTATTCCTACCCCACCAAATCTCTGAGTCTGAGCCTGGGGCTGTCCAGTGGTGCATGTCCTAACAGCCCTCCAGGATATCTGACTTCTGAGCTTGTATGTGAGAGACAAAAGACACATCCTGATGACCCCTGAGAAATAGGGGCAATCGCAAAATGATCTTTGTCATTGGCGTGGACCAAAGCTTGAGGTGACTTCTGGTTCTGGCCCTGCTGGGGCGCACTGGGCTGAGCCTCCTAGGCCTTGATTTGATCTTAATGTGAAGGCTGAGAGCCACGAACACCTTCCCACACCTAGAGCCAGGCCATGCACCTGCAGTGGCTCTCCTGACTGCATGCTTGCATGTTCCTGTCACTGCCTAGCAGTGTCTTGGTACTGATGCTTCTGCAGTACTTTGGTCCTGCTCTATCAATTTACAGTGGTGCCTGGTTATGGCGCACACCTTTAATCCCAGCACTCGGGAGGCAGAGGCAGGCAGATCTCTGTGAGTTCAAGGCCAGCCTGGTCTACAGAGCAAGTTCTAGGACAGCCAGAGCTACATAGAGAAATCCTATGTCAAAAAACCAAAACAACAACAAAAACCAACCGAACAATCAAAAACAAAAAGCAAGTATGCATGGGAGTCAGGTAGTGGGGCTCTAGCCTGCCAACCTTGCTTCCATCCCAGGTGTCACCAGATGGACGACTTCGGGCCTGCTAAGAACCTCATGACCATGTGCTTCACCTACTATCACCTGGGTGAGTAAGCCTGAGCAGAGCAGCCTCCCTAGAGTGGAGTTATGTGCTGTGACACGACATAGAGGGAAGCTTTGTCTAGAATCAGCCTTCTATCCTGCAGTCCCTGGAGCACCTTCAGGCACTCTCCCTCTCCTGTCCATGCTGCAGATCTCTCCTTACTCCCTTTCTCTCCTCTTTTAAGGCAAACCACACCTGCTCCCTACAGAGCCCAGGGAGAAGCCAGCTGGCAGCATTGACTCCTACCTGAAGTCAGCTAACAGCTGGCTGGCTGAGAAGAAGGACATTGCTGAGCGTCTGCTGAAGAACACAGAGAACATGAAGGGCTTCTTTGGGGGCCTGGAGACCAAGCTGAAAGGGCCACTGATCAGGAAAAACGAGTGAGTGTGAGCTCGAACCTGAGCTTGTGTGGAGACAGACTTTGGGGAAGCAGGTGGCCTGCCTGGTATTGGCCCCACAGCGCTTTAGAGTCACACAACTGTCAGCTCAGCATGACTCTACACTCCCAGAGCTTCCCATGGTTCCACATGCTGTTTGCTGGCTGACACACTGGAGTCCAGGAACCGTGTTTCTGGGGATGATGGGAGCATATGGCTTTGTCATTTGGCAATAGGGAAACCATATTCTCTGCCACCCCCTTCCTCCTATTGCTGTCATGCAAATTCATGTGAGTGAGATCAGGAAGGCCTTGGGTGTCATTGCCTCTAGGAGAGGCTGCTCTGACAAATAGTACTTTTTTGTTCGATTTTGTTTTGTTTGTTTGTTTGTTGTTTGAGACAGGTTCTCTATGTGGTTCTGGCTGTTCTGGACCTGGCTATGTAGCTAGCAGGCTGGCCTTGAGCTCATCTGCCTGCCTCTGCTTCCCAAGTCCTGGGATTAAAGTCACGAGTACCACACCTGCCCCAGAGGGCTCTTGGGATGGTTACACTAGTCATTGGAGTGCTGAAGCTGAGACACCACGACGAGGGGGCACAACAGTACAGAGGCAACCATCCATCCAAGCCCCTGCAGTACCTGAGGCATGGTTATAGTCAGGATACACAACTTGTCCCCGTCCACACAGAGGGCTCATAGAAGATGGTGCCATGCAGTCTCAGCACCACAGGCCTCAGTCCCTAGGCCTGTCATTTGCCACTGTGGCACTGATTCCAGCCTCTCTTCAGAGAAGCCACACAGAGAACAGGGCAGCATCTGACAGGAAGTGTGGCATGGGCCACCTTGTCACTGCTTTGATCTCTCTCCCTCCAGGGAAGACGAGAACAAACCCAAGGACAGACAGCTGAAGACTGGTAAGAACACAGCTCTCTGGGCGGTCCAGGAAGTGGGGCCCTGGAGAGGTGGGACCTATGGCGTGGTGGAACCTGGGGGTGCTTTGGCACGGTGGAACCTGGGGATTGATACCTGGGGTAAAGGGATGCCTGTGAAGGAAGGCAGGGCCTACTTCTCTGGCCTTGTAACCAAGACATACCACCCAGGACTGTTAAACTGGCCCACCATTAACCATCAACAGGAACAAGCAAGTTGCACATAAAAGGGCTTTGCTGGAGGGCAGACTGTGCAGAAACTAAACCCTCCACCTCAGTGAGTTACGGGAGGTGCCCCTTCATGGGCCACACTGGGAAGAAGCCCTAAGCTAAGGATGACCAGGAGATTTCTGGAGTTAGGACAGTATATCTTGATGACTTCTGGGAGACCACAGTGTCTGCTGAGTGTCCATAGGATCTCCCAACATGGGGTGTCCAGCCCAGGCTGCCCTCAGATCTCCTTACTCCCGCAGTGACTGTGATCAGCCCCGAAGATGAACAGAAGGGGGAGAAGGTTTACCTGTACACGCATCTGAAGCAGCAGCCCATCTGGTAAGGCCCACCCACATCCTGCCCCAACTGACCTGGCCTAGCTGCTGCCCAGCCCCTCAGCTGCCTATGTCTCCATAGCGACCATCCTCACCTCTAGGGTAGTCACAGTGAGAGAACAGCTGCCAGCTCGTGTTAATAGGGATGAGAAGGCATCTGACTCTCCATGGAAGTGGGAAGGTACAGTGGCATGGCCATTGTGGGAATGCCGGACAGCTCCCCAGGGGCTAACAGAGTAGCCGTGTGACTAGCCATTCCATTGTGGGTTTTTGCATGTACCTCTGCAGAAATCTGTATGAAGCTTACAGTGCACTGATCAGAGCAGTCACAAATGGGCAAGGCTAGCTGCCTGAGTAGGCATGTTGTCTTTCTGCACCTGAATTGTGGAGTAAGCCTGCACACAGATCACCACACAGTGACCCCCCCCCCCCCCCCCCCCGTCTCAAGCCGTTGAAGGCAGGCACAAAAGACCATGAGTCATCTCATCCTGTTTGTGCAGAATGCAGGGAACATAGAGCCACAGTAGATAAGCGGCAAGAGTGATGAGTGATTGTTGTGGGCTCCTTTAGGGGGCTGCAGAAGTGCCCTGGGACTAGACAATGGGGAGCACTACACAAGTGAATACACTGAGAAATCACTGAGTTGCACGCCTCATTTATTTCTTTATTTAACTTTCTAAATTATTATTTGGAGTGTATTGCTTGCATGTATGTCTCTGCACCATATCTGTGCCTGGTACCCTTGGAAGCTAGAAGTGGGCCTTAGATCCCCTAGAACTGGAGTTGCAGATGATTGTGGGCTGCCACGTGTGAGTTGGGAATCAGCACCCTGGTCCTCTGGAAGAGCAGTAAGTGGTCTTAACCACTGAGCGCTAGAAGTAAGATCTCGTACAAGGGTCTTCTCCTGGGCACCTCAGGAAGGGATTCAGGTGGTCACCACACTTTCAGGTCAGTTCTTGAAGTATGCTGTGAAGCAGGGCTGCCTTGTACACTTGGCCTGTCCTGGCCATGTTGGGATGCAGCCAGGGACCCTTGCCAGAACCAGTATAAGGCTGTTGGAAGCCTCTAGCCATAAATCTTGAGTCATATCTGTTCTGAATATATCATTGTGCTAACATCACCAGCCGTTAGCACAAAACAGACCAAGACAGTAGCTGTTAGGAGCTCTGGCAGCCCTTAGTGTTGCGCGGAGCCCTGGGGAGCCACCCATTTCCCATTCTCTCATCAGTGAAGAGCAATTCTAGCATGTAGTAGAATGTATCAGCATGGCTCCTCCCTCAAAGGTCACAGTCCAGCAAGGGCATGTGAGAAGTGTGACTGAGAAATGCAGTGGGAACCACCGGGGCAGGGGGCCTGGTAGAGGCTAGCGAGGTCAGCATAGGGAGGCTGGACCTGAATCAACTGGAGACACTGTTCAGCCGAGAGGTGAGGGCCTCACTGGGGCCACATTACCCCAGTAGCTGTGCTGGACCCTTAGGTACCTGGACCTGGTGTAACAAAGGGTCTAGACACTGGTTCATGTGGTCTCTGTTCTCCCACACGCTATGCTGAGTAGTAAAAACTGCCTGTGGCAATGACATGTGCAGTTGCAACACAGGCCACAGGCCACCCCTGATTTTCCAGCTTCCATGTTCCCGTGGCTATGTTCCTATAACTGCCATGGTGTGTGGCTTCTGGGTTCCTATGTTGGTGAGGAGATCCTGCTTAGCAAGAAGGGGTCTCGTTGTCCACTTTCCCTTGGAAGCCCACTGCTGCCTGCCTGAGCAGCTGAGCAGGCTGGCTTGCTCCACCCTCCCACAGGCCTCTTCAACTCTTCCGTCCCCTGCCAGAACAATATTTTCTTCACCTCTCAGACTTTCCAGACACAAAATGGTGTGGAGGGTAGGAAGGGCGTACCTACTCGTGGGTAGATCTTTACCCTTGTCTCATCCTGCAGGCACACATTGAGGTTCTGGAATGCAGCCTTTTTTGATGCTGTCCACTGTGAGAGGCGGAAGCGATCCCCCACCACCAGGTATGAGCCAAGAGTGTCCCCTCCAGCCTTGGGAGAGGACCAAGTCTTGGCTCACTCTCCCAAGTCCTTGGGAGCCAGCAAGATGGCTGAACTGCTGTTGGGTTCTTCCACCCATGTGTCCCAGAGCCCTGCAAGCTGCCTGAGGGGTTAGTGCTCACAGCTTTGGGGGTGGGATGCTCAGCTTGCATGGTGCTTTCTGTTCTGGGGCTCTGGCATGACATGGCCTGATCCTCCTGAAAATGCCACCTCTGCCCAAGGGAGAACACTGGCCTCCACTCCACCCCTCCATCCACTGCTAGCATCAGGCCTGGCAGTGTAACTACCCCCTGGGCCCATAGCTGCAGCCTAAGCAGACCTTCCCAGCCATGTCCACGCTAGTCCTACACCTCCGATGCCTTTTGGGACTCTGTTCAGAAGGCATGGAAAGCAGGGAAGGGCTTGTCCCCAATACCACAGAGGCTCTCTTTGGGAGCAGGCACAGGTTGCTACCCACTCCAGTTGGCTGCACGGCAGCAGCTCCTGTGGAAGGACGGCCAGCCCTACTGGCCCGCAAGTGTGGGGCTTTGTAGCTTGGATTGACTATCACGAGGAAGGCCCTGTGTCTTTGCTGTGTTTGAGAGGGAGCAGATGAGCAGAGCACCATCTGGTCGAGGCTCCTCTGCTGGAAAGTGATTATTTGAGGTAGTTCCCTTCCTCAGAGGAGCAGCTGAGGCCAGTGGAAATGAGGTGGCTTGCGTCAAGTCCCATGATCATCTGTTGGGACTGTTTCCTGGGGAAACCGAGGGAGCATGGGGTGGATAAGGCCCTAGACTTCTAGAAGACCCTGGGGAGAATTCCACTCTGTCTGGAGACTGGGCAGCCTCCAGGTGCGCCATTGGCTTCTTACTGAGCTCTCCCAGCACCTAGGGATCCATCTGTTCTGGGTTCCCTGTCTCTCTCTGTCCTCTCCGCTCCCACCTAGAATAATCCTCTCTGCTTGTTCTTTTCCATCCACATATCTTGCATGACTTTGACATGTGCCTTTGTTTACCTGTTTCTGCTGCCGCTCCAGAGGGGATGCTGGAGAGCAGGAGGAGAAGAGGTGTGTGTCCACGTGACTTCGTTCCATTTTACAGCTCTGGGGTTCCTTCCAAGGCCACTGCCAGGAGGGGAGGGTGTCTTTGGGGAGGCATGCCCTGTGCTAGGTAGGCTGGTGACAGGGCCTAACCCAAGACAGATAGAGCTTGCCAGGGTCAGAGCACCCTAAGATAGTTAGAAAACAGGACACTGTGAGCCACCCCAAGAGGCACACATGGGCAAAAGACTGCTAGCCCTCAGGGGCATGGCACTCTCATGGACCCCTCTGTACCTGGGCCAGACACAGGAATCCCATAGGTGTGGAAATGGAGGGTGGATGTGGAAAAACTGTCCTGTTTCCAGCTCCTCCCACTCCCACTGGAGGGACGTGCTACCTGGTCTAGGGTCACATAGAAGGACCCCCTCTCCTTCAGCCACTGGGTAATCAGAAGAGCTGGGGTGGTCCCTTGAAGCAAAGATGGGCTGCCTGCCTTTGAACCTGCAGGGGTCTGACTCATGTGTCCCAGAAGTCTCTGCAACATTTTTAGAGTAAAAGCTGTGCCCAATCACAAAGAGCTGTGAACCCAGGTGGGTTTCTCTGGAGCCTGGACACACATGTTTCATGGCAATGGCTCACAGCTCTTCTGCTCTGATGCCCCTTGATACTGTGACTTCACAGTAGCTGTGAGGAGTATTCAGGCCTGACATCCCACTCGCAGTGTCAGGGACCCATACCCCCATGTTCTCTCAGAGAACCCTGTGACAAGCCAGTTTCCTAGGAACAACGTGGGCCTGAAGATGGGCACTGTCACAGTCCACCCCCACCTCCCATCCCAGACACCTGAGCTGGTCCATGCTACTGGCTCAGCGACCTGTTCTGAATCCAGCTGAAGGAGCTTCCACACAACTAGGCCTCACAAGCCACCTCAGTGGAGCCCAAGCTGCCAACTGGTCAGCACAGGCCTCCTGGAGAGTAGCTGGTGTCACTCAAGTTCCCCAGCCTCCAGCAGCTGTCTTTCCCAGTGTCCCCTGCTAACAGCAGATTCCTTTCCATCGCCTAGTCCCAGAGGTTCCAATCAAGTGCAGAACGCACGCATGCACACACACATGCATGCACTCACGTACAGACAGACGCAAGCACGCACGGGGAGAGAGACTGCTTAGATTGTGATAGATGTTCCATGTGTAGGTCATTGCAGAGGCCTGAACTCAGCTCTTAGGAAGCAACTAGATAGAAGGCACCAGCCAGGCCAAGTTGCTCATGACCTTCTACTCTTCTTTCAGAAGTCAGGTGACAGCTCAGTTTTTTAGTCCTACCTGCAGCAAGGAGAATCACTTCCTTATGGGGTCGGGTATAAAGGATCAGAGCTGCTATGCTGCCCAACTCAGTGGTTTACTGTGCACATCTGTACATGGCAGGCCACTGTTGGTACAGGGTTGTGTGTACCTAAACAGCCTCAGAGCAAGTGTTGGAAGGCTGCACCATCCTCCGGTGCATTCTGGGATCTCGATAGGTGTGCTGCCTGAGCGTGCGGAGGGTGCAGGTGAACTCCACCCTGCTGAGCTGTGGCAGTCAGTGGCCTGGGCCAGGAAGAGCCAGGCCTGGGCTTTCGTCCCTTTGTTTTGTTCTCTCCCTTCCTTCCTTCTGCTTCTCCACGACTGACCTCTCCGTCCTCCATGCTACTTCTCTCCCTGTGCTCTGATCTTTCTCTCCACTTTGCTTTAGTTAGAGTCATCCATCCTGAGGCTTCTCTTTGGAGGAAGTGGGCCAAAATGAGCTCCCCTCCCATGGGAAGCCGTGTATTTGTCCTGAGTACCAGGGTCTGACTTCACATGGGCAGTGAGCATAGACACAGTGGGCTGCTGTGCCCTCTTAAAGGTTGTCCAGGAGCCTTACCAGGAAGGGGAAAGCCAGGGTGATGGGTGGCAGGCAACAGTCTTGCTGTGTTAGTGGCAGAGGTGTTAGTATAGGCACTTTTCTCTCCTACTCCTGGGCCTTTCCTCTACACAGGGCAGGTGGATGCTTAAAAGAATACTCCAATCTTACCCGGGTACCCACCCCATGCCACCTGTCCTTCTTAGAGACTGCCCACAACCCCATTGGCTTTAGAGTTTGGGCTGGCTTCATGATGGCCATGTGGTCACAGACCAGTGCCAGGAAGCCTATAGGCAGAGTGTCGAGTGACTGTCTCCTCCATGGTGGGAAACAGTCATGGCGGAGACTCCCTGTGATTCTGTGCAGAAAGTGTGGCTGTCATATATTCCCAGGCTCCCCATTCCTGGGTCTCCTGTAGATGCTGCCTTTCGCATATGGTCACAGGACACCAGGCAAGGCCCTACACTCCCTGAATTTCCTGACCCATTAAGTGGACCGAGTCCTCAGGACTAAGAACCTCCCAGGTCTCCAGGACAACCGAGTGTTGTTTTCTTTGTGGTTCTTCATCTTAGGCAGGGAGTAAATGCTGGTGTTTGGCAATCCCCAGACAAGTGGCAGTCTCTGGTAGAAGGTACCCCCAAGTCAGGTCCCCATGTGTCCAAGAGCCAGTGCAGACTACCAGCTCCACAGAGCAGGGGAGGGAGGGTCCCAAGCCATTCTGAAGCCCATCCTGTCCTTCCTGTGCCCACAGGGAGAAATGGTGCCACATGACCCAGGAAGAGCGGGATGACAGCCTGCGGTTCAATGAGAACATCACCTTCGGGCAACTGGGGTGAGAACCGAGCCATGAAACCAGCCTGGGCCACCTACCAGGATGGGGTGGTGTAGCAGGTCTGATTTTTCAGGGGCACAGGGGTTGTTAGTCGGTCCTTCTCTTGATCCTGGAGTGCAAATTCCAGTTAAGAGGTATGGGTAAACTTTTCACCTGGTGCTGCCCCAGATCCCAGCCAGTCCCCCGGTCTTAGAACCCAGGGTCTTGGCTCCCTTTTCTGGACTGACAGGAGGGTAATGACCATGGGTGTTTCTCCTGCAGTACATTCACCCACAACATGCTGGCCTTTGGCCTGAACAAGAAGCTGTGCAGTGACTTCCTGAAGAAGCAGGCTGTGATTGGCAACCTGGATGAGGGTGAGCTGAGCAAGGGGTATCATGGGGAGGTGGGAGCCAGAGCAAGCCCTCTCACCCTGCCAGAGGAGGGCACCTGCCATGGAAACCTGTTTCCCTGGCTTACCTTCTTCCCCCAGTACATAGAACGTATACTCTGGCTGTATAGCTGGAAGTTGTTTCTGGTGAGGGATGGCAAGTGACAGGAGGCACAGCCAGGTCAGAAATGAACATGACTCTGTCAGTCTATCTCTTGTGCAGAGCAAAACCTTGGCCACAAATATGTACCTTTTAGAGTGCCATCTGTCAGGGAAGGATGGTGGATAATGGGGGGACTCTGAGGCTTCCCAGAGTCTATTTCTCTGCCTCAGCAGAGAGCCTTGTGTTGTCTCAACACTGCAGCAGGTTTGTGTGTCACCATTTGCTACTGGTGTTCTCCTGGGCCAAGGCCTTATGTTTAGACCTCTGTTTGATAAACCAGTAAAAGACCCCTGCCCTCGTTCCTAGCCAGGAGGAGCTGCTGCAAAGGCACAAGGGCATTTGCAGCCACCAGGAAGCCTCACTGTTATCTCCCCCTCCATGTGGCCATCAGACTCAACAAGCCTTCTGTTGACTGCTGGGGCTGCACTCCACACATGACACCATTCCTGTAAAAATCCGTGTTCCTCAGAGTGAGGACCCACTCCCAAGTGTGTGCTCCTTGACAAGGCTCAGCTCTGAGCTCTAGCGAGCAGTGCCTAACTACCTGTGACTGACCGTGGCTCGAGCCAGCAGCCTCATCCCTGGCCTGAGTGTGCAGATTAGGCCAAGTCATTCCTGGCCACCAACCATCTCTTCTGGAATAATCCTGTCTTCTCTTCCAGAGCAATACAAGCTGCTAAGTGACCACATTGAACAAATGGCCACAGAATAGGAGGTCAGCACACGCCGCTCTCCCAGGAGCTGTCACCCCAGTGATGACCCTGCATGACACCAGCAGCACCCAGAGCCGCTCCTGGCTGCCCTAGAACTAGCAGTTAAAAGACTCCAGAAGCCTGTCTCCCCCTGCCTGTGTTTGCTCCCCACTCTATGTACAAGGTGTCCCTTTGGTTACACAGCTAAAAATGAGGGACTGTCTACCCCCACCTGTCCTTGAGCACCAGGCTTATGAGATGAGACAGAGGGTGGAGGAGGCCATAAGCTAGGGTCCCAAAGTTCCTACTGAGAGCCAGGGACATGCGGACATGGAGGTGCAGGAGGGATACACACAGCTATAAGGTGCGAACAGAACCTCCACTGAGGGTCACAGCCTGCCATTCCCTGCCACAGGACTTTCTGGGAGCATAGCTGTGTGGAGGGACTGTGGAGCCTTCCTGAAAGGTCTTGGCTACCTGCTCTTTGTCACCTCTGCATGGGGCAGGAACTAGAAATCACAGGAACTGGAAGAGAACTCAAGGGTTGTCACTTTCCTAACGGTGTGTGCATTCTGCCAGCCACAACCTTGTCTCAGACTCCAGAGTCTGTCAACAGAACCCGTGAACTGTCCACTCAACACCGTCTGTCCTTCAGTAGCAGAGAAGATCCTTCAGTTCCCAGACAGCAACAATATATGTCATGGAGTGCAGGAAGCATGGGGGAAGGTTGTCTGCAGCGCTGGGATGACACCCTTGCTAAGAGCAACTGGTTAGAGCTGGAGCACAGAATCCATCTGACTGAGAGGAGGCCACAGGGAAGTGAAGTTGCCTGATAGCTCCAGCCCATGCCCTTCCTCCTTCTGAAAGAGACCCACAGGGACTTTCCTCTTCTGCACCCACGTGCCAGACAAAGTCTAACCCACAGCATCCAGTGTGCTGGCTCCAGAGCTGCTGTCCCCATCTGCCCCACCAGCAGCCTAGGTTCCTTCTGTGCCAGCTACAGCCATTCTGGTCACTGACCTTGAATTCGGCCTTGCAGGCTCTGCTGTCACTCTTCATCGCCTCATCGTTCCCTGTCCCTCAGCCTTCAGTCATATTTAGTCAAGGTCTGTCTGCAAGCACAGCAGTCCTCTCCTGACAGCCATGTACTCAGCTGCCGAAGGCAAGCTTTCCCTGTGGGGAATGTCTCCCTAGGATGTCCAAAGAAAAGCAGATGGGTCGAGCTTTTGAACGAGCATTTCTTGGATGTTGGGGGTGACCGAGGCCGTTCATTCATTGCAGAACAATTCAAACAAATGCTGACAGCCTGGTCAGCCCCTGATGACATAGGATGTATTGTTGGGGCCAGCAAGGACACCCACCCCAACATTAGGACCCCATAACTGTGCCTGTCTCTGCTCCTGTGCTTAAGGGAGGTGACGTCAAGTGGGGTCACCCCTGCTGTCCTCTCTAGAGCCTTCCTCAACTGTACAAGCATGGCAGCCTCTCCTTGCTCCTCCCAGTCCTGCATTAGTTGAGTTCAGTGAGACTTGACTCCAGCAGCTGCGTTGTCTGACTTCTGCCTTGCCCCGTGCAGCCATGCACAGCCTTAAGGGGAAGAGCACCAATGGTTCCAGCACACGGTCTTTAGAAGTGACTTGGAGACTGTTCCACACCAACTTTTTGAGATATCCCTTCAAGGAAAAAAGGAAGGATGGCTCTGTTATCTGTTTTGTCTGTCTTGCTCTTTATTCTTGCAGATCCAGCCCCTCAGTTGGGAAATTCTGACCCACGTTAGATCCACAGGCCACTGCTAAGGACTTGGTAACCCTCTGAGGACAAGGTGGTCTTTGATGGGAGCAAAGATGCAGGTGATGGAGGTGGTCCCACTATCACCTGCAGATGTCCTGTGTTGTCAACTAGCCTTGATAAAGTTTCACATCTGGGAGCCTCTGGTCAGTGTCTCTGGGACACCAGTCTGCCCCATGAAGTATCTTGTCTTCCTGTGGTAGCTTTCCCCTAGGGCTCACCAAGCAAGTGTGAACTGGGCTCCCTGGCAAGCACTCCTTGGCTGCCCGGCTGAGCTCACAAGCAGGTCAAATTACCTGGATAATCCCAAGCAGTATCTCCAGTCTTGGCCGGTAGTGGCCCAGATCTGTGCAGGCCCATTAGCAACACACTCAAGCCTTCCTGGCATGTGACCTTCAGGGCTGCGCGAGTCTTTGTCACTCATGACAGTGTCTACCCTTACAGAAAATAGTCCCCAGTTCTGAAAACAGGCCAGTTACTGTGGCTCTGCTGCGGTCAGCTTTGTTAGGGTATTGTGGGTGTTGGTGGCAGAGCGTGGCAGCCTACAGGCTGCCTACAGGCTGCCTCTGCTGAGTGTCTAGCCTCAGGCAGGGCCACACGCGGGTCTATTGAGAGATCTGCATTGTGCATCCTGGCACACCGTGATTTTCCTCTTGTCCAAGAAACAAAGGGGCTGAGGAGGTCAGTGTCTCAACAAGCAGACTGCGGACAAAGCTGGTGTTCAAACTTCATCCACATAGGAAGGAAGTCTTCCTGGCTGGGCATAGTGTACACCTGTAATCCTTCACTCAGGAGGTGAAGGCAGGAGGATCAGGAGTTCAAGGTCATCCTCAGCTACACAGGGAGTTCAAAGCCAGCCTGGGCCACATGAACTCAGGGTAGCCTTAGAGCCAGTGTCCCATCTGAAGACTTAGCCTGATGCAGATGGGGTTCCACAGCCTGTTTTGTCCCCCCTCATCTGAGAAGAAGCAATCAATGCTCTGTCGGTTTCTGTAGGTCAGGGACCTTGCAGGGCCCATGGACACAGGAGGCTCCAAGGGCAGCTTGCTACTCTAGAAACACCTGCCACTCCAGGTTGCTGGTGTGAGTGGCCCAAGCTTCTCTACTGGGAAATATGTGAAAAGTAGAGGTCTAATTGTGGTGACCTTAGGAGTCCCAGGTGTAGTCTCACCTGACCTTGACCTTCCTGGGACACGTGACTAGCTGGTTTTTCATTCGGAGCCTGCACAGCTGGAGCAGCTTTATCCCCGTTCCCAGACTGCAGTCAGACAGCCAGAAGACTCCAAAACTAGAGGATTCTTGTATGGGACACATACAGCCTCAGGGAAACAGTAAGAGAACCTTTCTCCACAGAGGTTCCTGGGTTCCAGCCTCCTGCCCCCGCTCCTTCCATCTTCCAAGTCAGCCAGCTCTGCAGAGCCCTTCTAGGGGCTGAGCTGCCTAACCAGTCTATCCTTCAGATCCGTCCTCACAGCCACAGTCTCAGGCTTGTTTAGCTTGAGAAGCTGCCGGTAGATGCCCATGGAATGGGCCTCATTGACTGGACAGGCCTCTTGCGGCTGGGTTCCTGCGCTCCACTCCATCAGGGACGGGACAGGAGTATACTGTTAGGTAAGAAAATGAGTGGACCGGTCTTTTCCAGACTGCTCACATGTGGTGAACATACCCCTACTAAGGCTACCTTCCATGGCAGGTTCCTGCAGGGCCTTCATTCTGCAGTCCCCCTGGAGACTCTGGGTCAGTGTGCCACCTGCTCCTGGAGAGGGGTGGGGTCCAGGGAGTGATGTGGGCCAGTTTGCCCTGCTGCAGGGTGACAGGGAAGCTTATGCCAATGTTCCTCTGGTAGTTGATCTGAGCTTTGAAGAACAGATGGGCACAGAGCTGGGAGCACCACCCCAAGTTGGGCTGTGTTCATGGGGCTCCTCAGGAAGTTGGCGCTTTGGGGGACCAGCTTCACTGTAGACTCCAGGTTCTGGCAGGAAGTGGCATGAGCCCAGGTACAAGTTGTGCTCAACTTTAGAGACAGAACTTTATCCAGAAAGGACCCCTGCCCATGGAATGCCTTGGCTTGGACCCTGAGCTGAGGCTGGGCCTTACTCCTAGATGATGGCTGTGTTCATGGAAAGGAGGAAAGATACCCTGCCTGGGGGAAAAGGTTGGTTCACTGCCATGCTTGCAAGAGACGCTAACATAGTGTCAGCTGGGGAGAAGGACACTGGTCAGTAGCCTGAGACCGACCGTCACTTCATTCAGAATGGGGATCCCTGAGAGGGATGAGTTGGACATTTGACTGTTGGGAGATACTAGTCTCAGACAGCAGCCATGTATCTCCATAGAGCATATGTGAGGACCTGGACTGTCGGCTGCCTTGCTCTACCTGGTTCCCAGTGCAGTTTCTGTGGGGACTCCACCTGCGCGGTCTGTTCTCTCTTTAGGGTTCCATACCCATTTTTTTTTTGCCAGAAGCCCTCCAGTGATGCTGTCTTTTATATGTTACACAACTTGGTGCCCTGCCAGGTCATGTTCTAAAATTAAGGTTGAGAAAGTTATGAGGTTGAGGATCTCAGGCAGGGCTGTTTCCTGTGAAGAAAAAAAAAAGTGTACCTATCCATATATATAGTACCTTGACTTGTCAGGAGGTGAAAACTGAAATAAATTATCTTTGAAAAAGAAGTCATATTAACTTGTTTTCACATATCTGTGAGGACCTCACGGAATACATAGTCACATCACGGGCTTTGCAGAAATAGATAGCCCCACCCCCCCGTCTAGACTCAGAGGCTGGGCTAGAGTTTGCCTGAGGACAGTGTGGCCTGCTACTTGGACATGTGGGGTACCTGATCACTACCTGTCATGTGGGGCCAAATTGGGGTCTCCCAGGAGGGAGTGCTTTGGCTCAGAGAGGAGGCAGTGTCGGGGGCACCCTGATGCCAGGGGGTGATCAAGCCTGCGCTCACCCAAGTTGTCTGTGGAACAGAGTGATAAAGGACAGGGGATACCCTCTCACCCAAGAGTTCATTGATCCAAGTCTAGGCCCTATCACGTTCATGGTGGCCTCATTCCTCCTAGGGAACATCCCCTGAAGAGCGTGCCCAGGGATCACCTCACACATGCTCCTGGAGGTGCCCACCCACCCTCTACCTACCCTCGCTGTGGACCTCTGTGTGTTTATGGCCCCATGGCCATTGTATAGATCATGCCATGTCTGTGTGATGGCTGAGATCTGTGCCTATCTGCCAAGTGTGTGTATTGAAGAGTTAAGTCCTAGGGTGCAGAGCCTGAAAATGGTCCTTGTGCAGGGGTTGGAAGGCAACCACAGCAGGGGTCCTCAGCTTACAGAAGGGGGCATTTGGGCACAGACTTCGGTGCACTTAGGGAGAACACCATGTAGAATCAAAAGCAGACATTGGGCATCGTGGCCACAGGAACAGACTGCACGAGCCAGAAGCTGGACAGAGGCCTAGGCTGCCCATACCTCCCCGCTCTGGAGGAGCTAGCCCTCCAACACCTGATGTGGATGGCAGCTTCTGGGTAGGGCGGTCTATTCTTCTGCTGCTTTAGCCTCCCCGTTGGTGGTACTTGACCAGGAAGACCCCCAAAACTAATCCACCACACTTTAGCATTAACACATGTGGAGACTCCTGTCCCCAGATGAAGGCAGGAAACAGGCAAAGCAAGGATGCAACTGAAAGTCACGTGTCTCTCACTGACACCAGGAGTAGGAGTCCGCAGAGCAGCTTGCTGTACCGATAAGGGAAGTGAGGCTCCGGGGATCCCTGACCTGAGGACACGAGCAGAGCCCACCAGGGTCCAGGCCAGCCTAGGCCTTCAACCTGCTACTGCATCCTCTTCCTAGTCACGGCGTCCCTGCTGCTGTCCCTTGAGGTCCTCCAGGGGGATCTCCTCCACAGAGTCTGCCTCACTCTCCTCCTCGTCTTTTCCCTGGCCTGCCACGGTGCTCTGAACACTCTGAATGATGGAAAGAAAAGTCACAGCCGCAGCATCCAAACCAGGAGGAGTGGTGATGAGGAACTGGACAGGTGACTCTCCTGTACCACTATAAGGAGTGACTATGGCCATGAGCCACGTAGTAGGTGAGGCCAAGAGAGGGCATGACTACCAGCCAAGCCACAGAGAGTGCATTGGAGAAAGCCCAATCTCTTTACTGTGCTTAGAAAAGACCTTTGTGAAGCTCAGTGACAACCCTTGGCCATGTCCACCCCCTCTGTGTCCCCCTCCCTCATAGTGTCCCCCTCCCTCACAGTGTCCACCCCCTCACTGTGTCCCCCTCCCTCACAGTGGCCACCCCCTCACAGTGGCCACCTCCCTCACAGTGTCCACCCCCTCACAGTGGCCACCTCTCTTCACTGTGACTCTAGGACCATGCCTGCCCTGTCCACTTCCTTCTTGCAGACCCTGCCAATCTCCCCGAGGTTGTTGGCCTAAGGCTGGCGACGGCGAGCCATCCTGAACCGTCAGATGACATTTGCCGTGTGTGCCTTATTCCTAACATCTGAGAAGTTCTGAATCTGGCCCAGGTGGGATCAGGTCAGACCCTGTCATGCCAGACCTCTGGAGTGGTGGCCCACGCAGGCAGACACGAACAGTCCCACCCCAGCGGTGTCCCCACTGCACCAGCTGTCAGCCATCCATCCACTCCCCTGGCTTCTTCACTTTGTCCTGGATTGACTCCCATGATATGTAAGTGCTCACCTGGCTGACCAGAGGCCAAGGGAGAGATGGAGAGGGGCTGGTGTCTGTGGGTGGCCGAGCTTCACTGTGCCCATAAATTCCGTGCATCTTGGCTCTGAAGTCCTGCCAAGGAAAGACCAGGGTGAATGGATCCAGTTTGAAAGCACAGGAGTGGAGTAGGAAGCAAAGATAGGAAGCTATGAAGCCTCTCTGGGCACTTCCTGTTGCTCTTTTATAGACCCTACAGCAGCCCCCTGAGGGGGTGCTCTAATCCCATCAAACAGATGGACAAACTGAGGCCAAAGGCACCAAGTAACACAGAGAAAGCACTGGTTAGCCATTGCTCTCCACCCCTCAAAGAAAATTGTAGAGCTGGGACTTGGGCCATATGCCTGTAATCCTAGCCCTGAGGAGGCCGAGACAGGAGGATCATGATTGAGGCTATCATGGGCCATAAAGACGAATGAAGCTTTGGAGAACCTGGGGTTCTTCTGTAGCCTTCTGTGTGGTTTTAAAGCTTATGTAACAACCCTTTGATGGATCTTCCATCTCCCATTCTGTTCTTGAGTGACAGCCTTAGTGGGTCATCTGTACCATCCTGGCAGGAGCACACAGAAATCCTCTTGACCCCAGGCTGTGGGCTTTGTGGACTCCTGGCTCAGTCACCAAGCTCCACACCCATTGGACCCCCGCACTGCCTCCTAAGGCACCTTTACCCTTTCCCTGTGTCCAGAGAACAGCTACCTCCCATCAACATCTGTCCACACAGAAAGACGTCTTTGAAATAGCCCGGCTCCAGACTGTGACCCAAAGCCACAAGATACAGGGACAGATGATTGGCTCACAGCGTTGGTTCGGGGACCTGAGCTCTGCAGATAAAGCTTGCTGCGAATCTAATCAGCACGGCTGGGGACAGTCAGCGCTTTGAGCTGAGAGCTGAGTGCCAGCCACAGAAAGCTTTTGTCCCAGCTATCTCTCTTCAGTACTGAACAGCCCTATGATGCTGAGCAGGTGACATTCCAGGTGACCAGGAGAAGAGTCCTCGATGGGGTGGCATCCAGACCAGCTGTTTGAAGTAGCTCATCAGAGCAAGCCCTCAGGCTAGATAGAAACCCACAAAAGCAGTCAAGCCCGGGGACCCACCTGCAGGTCTCGCTCCAGGTCGTAGCTCTCCAGGGTCCTGAAAGCGCTGGAATACACCTCCACGGCCTTTGCGTGGAAAACCATCTCGATGGTCACAAAGTCAGAGAAGATTCTCTGCGAGAGAGAAGCCTGGTCAGGGTAGCAGCGCCACACAGGGCCACACTGTGGATGCCAAGCAACATCCCTGTGTCTTTTTAAATTGGGGGGGGGGGGAACAGCTCTCTACCTAGAGGCAAGAAGACCCCACTGGTGCCAAATCCCTTTCACACCGCAATAACAGTGCCGGCTTTTGGAAAGCCTCCTAATCGAGACACCAGTTCCCGGCTTCATTCATTTATATACTCACTCATTCACTCCACAAATACTTCCCAAGTACCCGCAACTGCCCAGGCCCTGATGGTCTGGGAGTCTAGCTGATCTTCTGTACCCCAGAGGTAAAAGGGGTAAACCCAAGACAGAGGCCTGACCCAGGGCACAGCATATGCTAAGTCCCTGGCATAGGAAGGAACCTGAGCCTTAGCTTTGGGTGGGGGTGACTGTGTAGGAGGCTGGAAGGGCCCAGATTGCTGCCTTGGAAGGGGCTGTTCTTTGAGCCTGGGACAAGGTGAGCCAAGGGTGTGAACACCAAGCCTGACAGATCAGAACTGTCTGTCAAGAGGTTCCTTTTCAAGGGTGGAAAAGACAGGACTGGAGGGCGAGGCAGACAGGGACATCCGTGGTTAGTTAGTCCTGTGAGAGCAAGTGGGACTTGACCTAGTATCCCATGATGCTGGGCGGGTGGGGGTTCTGGTGGAGATAAAGGAGACCCTGCCTGCCTCACAGCACCCCAACATGGCTGCTTCCTAAGAGGGCTTTTAGAGCTTCATGGAGGAGCTAGGTGGACACACCTGGGAAAGAAGAGCAGGCGCAGGAGGGGACAATGGTGACAGAGCTGTGCCTCAGTATCCTCCCAGTCAAGAGCACTGAATGGCTGCGTGAGGTCAGCCTACCCCAAGCAGACAGGCTGCCCCTGCAGCTAGGATCAACTCTCCCCAGAGCCCTGGCCTCTGAGGGCCGTGTTGTCACACAGTGCGTGTGTGCCTACTCTCAAACACGGGAATTCACACCCGCTCACATGCGTGCACACACTCACACAAGGCTGCCACTGCCTACCCGGAGGTCCTTTAGCTTCTGCTCCTGGAAGGCATCCACTGTCTCTGCCAGGTGGTGGGTAGAGCGGTTGGTGTCCACAGAGGCCCTCTGTGCACTGGTTTCCGCCTGGGCTCGGGGACACAGGAGTAGAAAGTGTCACAGGGTGAGCCTGGCCCCGAGATACTATTCTGGGTCGTTCTCAGTCCTACCATCTCCTGTGGGGCACTTTCTCCTGCCTTGGGTGGTCTCTTGTTAACTGGGTCTTTGAAGGAATAGTCAGACAGACATGGTGAAAGGGTGTTCACTGGGGCTGGACAGACCTGCTGCTTAGCTGTGTGACCTCAGACAAGTCACTTAACTTCTCTTGGGCTCAAATTTTCTTGCCAGCCAGGAGGCAGTTATGAGACGTGCTTGCAAAGTTGGGAGAATTGGATGGTAAAAGGTGGGAGCTGCTCCACAGGGGAGCCCATGTTCAGCATGTGGGGGGGACCGGAGAGCCTCGCAGTCAGCTCCAGCACTGACAGCAACAACCATCGTTCCAAGACAGGTACTTGCTGGTCTGAGCGTTACTCAATGGAGCTTCCGTGTTTGTGAAATGGAGCTAGGGTCTGGTCCCCAGTAAGGGAAGGGAGCAGGGATCTAAACAGATGGGTGACCAGGAGGTAGGGGCACTGGCGGGGCCTAGGATACAAGGCAGGTGCTTGCTCTAAGCTGAAGGCCATGCCTGAGCCCCTCACTTCAGGTGTGGTGCTCCCCAGGTTATAGAGTGGACATCTAGAGATGTCCACCTCCTAAACCCTGTGTCCTGTGCACAGGTCACCAGACAAGGCTGCAGTAGCCTGTGGCTGCTTATTTATCTGACCTGAGATGCATAGTGATCCCAAATTCTCTGATAAAGCCCAGGAGTGAGCTGGAGGGGAACTGGGGGAAGGTGTGACTGCATAGGAAAAGTGTGGGGAGGGGACAAGGGGACAAGAGGCCCAGTGGGACTGTGGCCTAGATGCTGGAAGAGGTGGGGCCAATCCCCTAGGTTCCCAGAGGCACAGCCTGCCTACTCATGATGAGGCCAGAGAGCCCCTCGGTCAATTCTAACCCCCGATCTATGAAGAGAGAGAGAGAGAGAGAGAGAGAGAGAGAGAGAGAGACCATCTGTCATGGTGACACCCAAAGAGGCTGCTTTCACAGTGACAAGCAGGACAGAGATGACTAGCCCTCTAGAGTCCTGCACCCAGCTCACAGGCAGGCTGGTGCCATGGAGAGGTGTTAGTGTCATCTCACTGAGACTGGCATTCATACCCAAGCTTGCCTGAGTTTGCTTGAGTAGTAGGGCTGGGACTGGCAGTGGCTACCTTGTGATCAGGATGCAGGTGACCCCATGACTGGGTGGCTTGCTTGACAGAGCTCAGACCTCCTGACCCTCAGCAACCACCCTCCCCTTTGCCTCACCTTGCTGTGCTGAGCCCCGTGGGCACTGGCCTCACTGGTTAAGTCTCACCCACCCTTCCATGAAGTCTTTGTTACCTGTATAAGATGCGGAGATGCTGCCTGCCCAGGTGGAAATGGAATGCACAATACTCACCTGGGACTGAGGGGGGCTGTTAAGGTTTCAGATGAAGCCAGGTGGCCTGCAGGTTAGGTAGGCACCCTGATGTGGGATTCCCCTCTGTATGCTATGAATATGTTTTAATACCATTGGTTAAGAGAAGCTGCTTTGGGCCTATGGCAGTGCAGAATAAAGCCAGGCAGGAAATCCAAACAGAGATTTAGAGAGAAAGTAGGCAGAGAGGCAAAGGGATGCCATATAGCTACCGAAGGAGACAGATGCCCTGAAATCTTACCAGTAAGTCATGAGCCTTGGGGTAAAATATAAAATAATAGGAGTGAGTTAATTTAAGATGTAAGAGTTGGTTAATAAAAAGTCTAAGTTATTGGCCAAGTGGTGTGGGACAATTCTGTATTCTGTCAATTATGTTCTAAATAAATGCTGATTGACCAGTAGCCAGGTAGGAAGTATAAGCAAGACAACCAGACAGGAAGTAGAGGTGGGGGAATGAGAACAGGAGAATTCTGGGAAGCAGGAAACTCCATCGCAGTCCTGCCCAGACACTGAAGAAGGTACCAAGCCATGTGGCTAACATAGATAAGAATAATGGGTTATTATAAGTTGTAAGAGCTGATAAGAAGCCTAAACTAATGGGCCAATCAGCTTATAACTAATGCAGGCTCTCTGTGTGATTTATTTGGAACCTAGCGACTGTGGGAACCAGGCAGGAGAGAAACCACAGGCAACAGCCAAGAAGTGTTGTAATTAGTATAGTTTCTGTGTGATTATTTCAGGCCTGGGTAGCCAGGAAACGAACAAACAGTCTCTGACTACAGTACCCCCTTGGCAGCCCCAGGTCCCCAATCCCTCCAGTGCACTGTGTGGAATGGCCACCCCGCCTAGCAGGAGGAAGGATACAATCATTTGTCGATCTGAGGGTGACTTCTGCCTTAATTTCTCCAGCTTTTCCAGTTGCTTGATCTCATTATTTTGGACACGTTTACATTTCTTAATATCTGCCTACACAGAAAAAGAGGGCTGTTTTCTAGGGATCCCAAGGGGCCAGGCCCCACTCCTGCACACCTTGAAGTGCACCCAGCTCACCTGGGTCTGCTTTATCTGGGCTCCATAGAGCTTCAGGGGGCTGATGACCTTGGCCTCCAGCCTCTCAACCTGCAGAGCGCATGGGACAGCGTAAGCAAAACAGAGAAGACAGCTCTATGACTAGATACCTGCACCCCCAGGAATGGCGAGGGCCTGGCCTGGCCCTGCCATGAGCTTTTTCCCACTAAGCTAGCATTCTCAGTTGTGTGCTGGGATAGTGACTGTGCCCCAGACTATCTCAGCAGGTTAGTGGGACCCTTGCAGAGCCTGGGAGGATAACAGCAGGCACAGAACTTGTGACTAATTGCCTCATCATAACCACCATGACTCCCCCGTCACGTGTGCCAGAATAAAACCTGGTGGGGGGCAATTCTGTATTCTGTCGATTACATTTTAAATAAATGCTGATTGGCCAGTAGCCAGACAGGAAGTAGAGGCGGAGAAATGAGAACAGGAGAATTCTGGGAAGAAGGAAGCTGACTCCTCTCAGTCCTGCCCAGACCACTGAAGAAGCAGGATGTGACCTGACCCACTGAAAAAGGTACTGAGCCATGTGGCTAACATAGATAAGAACAATGGGTTAATATAAACTACAAGAGCTAGTAAGAAGCCTGAGCTAATGGGCCAATCACTTTATATTTAATATAGACTTCTGTGTGATTCTTTGGGGCTAAACGGCTGTGAGAACAGGGCTGGACAGAAACCCCAACAAGCAAGGCCCCCTTATGTTACAAAACCCTTCCTGCCTTAGGTCATTCTGTCGGGTGTTTGACTGAAGCAACGACAAGCTAATATAGCCACAGTGCCCACAGGACCCTGAGGTGGTGCTGCTCTGAGTCTTGAGGCTTCAGCAGCAGCAGAGGAGTCCCGGGTCAAGGCCTGTGGAGGGCCAGTATCTGGGCAAGACAGAGAGGTCTGCCTTCCTGTCATGGCTCCTAGCGTCTTGGGGATCAGACGCGCCAAAGAAACAGGAGTGACTGGAGCGCCACTAGGCCATTCCTTTCCAGTGCCCTGGACCCTTGAGAGGGACAGTGTCATGGTAAAGGGTCATGAAAGGGACAGACCGACCCCTTCCTTTCAGAAAGCTCGGTTGCAATTCCTTTCTCTGCCCCTTTGATATCCTAAACGTTTTAAGAACGTAATGTCCTTCTTGGGTGGCTGCGTGAGCGCTTTCTTAGGATTAGTGCCAGCGCTCAGCATGGAAGGCAGGGAGGAAGCAAGAGGCCTGTAGCTGGGTGGGGATGCTGGTTGGCACTCAGTTGCCCAGCACGGAGCTAGAAGCTTCCATTTTCCCACTGGTTAGAGAAGGGAAGGGTGCCTCACACCCGTAACCCTGGCACCTAGGAGGCTGGCCTTGAGTTCCAGGCCAGACTAGACTACAGAGTGACCTTGTCCCCTCCAAAAGGACAGTGGGCATAGGCAGCCACTCAGTGACCATGTGGCATCCCCATGTACCATCAGAGAAGCACAGCAGCCCCTTTCAAGTACGGTTACCCTGTATCCCAAGAGGTTGCACCTGCCGGACTATCTGTGGGTATAGAAAGAGCTGTCTGTCACCCAGCCTGTGCTCTGTGGACCCCTTTGTAAATCTCAGCCACAGCGTTCCCATGTCTTCTTCTCTGCCAACCATACAGGATGTTTCTGAAAAAACATCACTCCACCACTCTCTTGTTCATCTTCTCCCTACACCCAGGAATCTCTGGCCCTCATGGGGCCCCCGATAGGCTTCCAGGTCCCCTTGACTGGAATGGTCATTGTCCAGCACACTGAAGCTTTCTAGCTCTCCACCCTGTCACCAGTGTGTTCCTGAGGGGAGAGAATGTTCCAGCTCTCGCTTCTGACCCAGGCTGCCATGCTCACCTCTGCCTGCCTGTAATCCTGCACTTTGGCCAGGTCCTCGGCAAAGTCTCGCATGGTAGCCCTAAGCTCCGGGTTCTCAGTGTTGGCAAAATCCATGAGCTGCTTCACCAGCTGGTCGGCCTTGTCACGCAGCCGGGCTGTCTTGCGCGTGTAGGAGGCCAGCAGCGAGCAGAACTGACCGAAATACCTCTCAGCGTTGGTCACAGTGTTCTCCATGGCCTTCACCTGACTGTCCCTGGATGGGGGTGAGGACACCAAGTGCAGACAAGGTCACAGTCCCTGGAGTCACGGTACCCGTCTCTCCAGTGTGGCAGGCACCACCCAAGCACCTGGTCCCCAAGCACCTGGTCCCTGGGCAGTTCTAAGTAAAAAACCTTGGGCCCATTGAGGCAGAAGACAAGACCTGCCTATGCCCCATGACCAAGCAGCAGTAGATGGGACTCAGGTGGGGCCTTTGTCCCTGGAGCCTGAGAAGGGGTGCAGTACCCCACACTCTCGTACACACCACTGTCTCAACTGCAGAGGCTTCTCCTCCAACCCTCTCCATTCCCATGGGCCCTCCCCATACTGTCCACTCTTCCTCCCTTTTGAGAAGCTTTGGGTTCAATGAGTGACCTTTGGGGGAATCTATTTGAGACTAAAAGATAGTTTGAGGCCTGGAAAAATGGTTCAGTGGGAAAAAAAAAAAAACCACCACCGAAGACCTAAGTCCAGATCCCCAGTTAGAGGGGCTAGAGAGATGGCTCAGTGGTTAAGCATGCCTATTGCTTATAGAAAAACCGAGATTCAAAACCATCTGTAACTTCAACTCTAGGGGATCTGATGCCCTCTGCTGGCCTCCATGGGCACCTACACTCATGTGTACAAATCCACACTTGTATACACACATACATAACTGGCATGGTCATGCATGCCTTTAATTCCAGCACTGGGGAGGCAAATCTCTGTGAGTCTGAGGTCAGCCTGGCCTCCATAGAGACTTTCAGAACAGTCAGGACTACACAGAGAAACTGTCTCAAAAACAAAACATACATTATTCTCTCTCTCTCTCTCAAAAAAAAAAAAAAAAAGTCAAGAGTGACACCACATGCACCTGTATGTAACTGCAATATTATGGGGCATGGAGACAGGAGGATGACTGATTTTCTGTCTGCCAGCCTAGTATCAGTGAGAGACTCTGTCTCAAGGGAATAAGGTGGAAAGTGACAGACACCAAGCATCCTCCTCTGGGCTCTGCACAAGTATGCACAGGCACACAGAGCCAGCCACATACATGTTATAGACACACAAATACACAACTTATTTTTAAGAGGACTGTTTTGCACACCCTCTCTCCTTCCCAGTCTCTCGATCCTTGCAGTCCATTTGGTACCAGGGATGCTCCAATAGGGGGTCATCGCTGTAGACAGCCGTGATGATTCCCACTGGGTGCGGCATGCTCAGGTGTGACATGCACGGTGCCATGTCCCCACCAAGCTACCTGGAGAGTATTTGGGCCCTCGCTCTCCCATTCTCCCTGGTTGATCCCTCCTCCCGCCCCACCAGCCCTGAGTTCCTCTGTGGAGCACCGTGCAGACTGCTGACCACTGCACTCCATACCTTTGCCCTTCCTGACACTCACAGGGCTCATGCCACCTTTCCCATGACCCATCCCTGTCTGTCCCTGTCCCCTTCCGTGTAACCTACCCACACCCGGTGCTCAGTGATAACACAGGGACTCAGCCTTCCTAGAGTTCGGGGGCCTGCTGCGGTGTTGGCCTCCTTAGACTCCCCCCACATCCCCCTCTCCCAGTCCCAGGCTGTTGCTGTCCTTTGCAGTTCTTGCTTTCTAGAACCCAAGCCCCTCCTGGGCCCCCCAGACCTGTGAGGAACACCATGTCCTAATGAGCCTTAACTTTGTAGTTTACAAATGCTCTGGTCACACTCCCCTAGAAGACGTTGCTTTTAAATCAAGTAAACTGAGTTCCAGAGAGGCAAAGCGTTCCGTCCAAGGGCACACAGCAGGCCGGACCCCAAGGCAGCATCACTCACACACGGGTTAGACATGCAGGTCCCAGGCTCTGGGAAGCAGGCCCCTTGGGGTGAGACTGGGAAGCCAACTTGTAAGGAGTACCCTAGGTGCATTCAAGGCACCAGGCCTCTGAGCCATAGGGAGACTCAAAGTCAATCAGAGAGGGCAGATGACAGTGAACCTGGGGCATGAGGCAGAGCAGTGGGCATGGTACCCAAGGGTGAGGTCTGGGACCTGAGTTGTCAGGGGCTTTTTAGGAGGCACGAGTGGGAAGCAGGGAACAGACCCGTGAATGGCTGTACCAGGTCTCCAGGCAGCAAAGGCGAGGCAGGCAGACTGGATCCTGGAAACCTCTGTGCTCCAAGCTCTATCCTCCCTCCACCTAGAAGGGATGGCGGGGCGCGCGATCCCGCCAGCAATTCCCTCCCAGCAGCGCAGGCTGCTCACCTGGAGAGGACGACATTCATTGTGGACAGAGGCAATTGCCGCCTTGATCTTGGGGAATAAAAACAAGGTCCCGGGGGTTCCCTAGGCAGAGAGAAGTCAGCCAAAGCTGGGCCCAGCTGTGTGGTCTGGCTGGGCTCTAGGGACTCTGCTGCCTGGTTGCCAGGCAACGGGCCATCCCAGGCAAGCCCTGGGAGGAGCCCTGCTGGTTGCCGGGCAACCAGGGCCTCCCCTGTGGGGTGAGGAGGGCTTGCTTTGGGCTTAACTGCACTCTGAAATGGGGCGGGGTGGGTGGGTGGGGTAGTAGAGAGACTCCACATGTTTTCAAATATGGAACTTCTTGGGGTTCCAAGAGCTTGTGTTCACCAGGGGACCAGGGAGAGCCCTGAAGGCAGCTTGCCTGGGACTTTACCCCGGGTCCTGGCACAATATGTGGGCCCCAAGGTAGAGGGCCAGGTGGGCGGGGCCTAGGAGCTGGTGTAGTTGTCAAGGGTGAGGTGGAGAAGTAGACGGTAAAGGAGGGGGCAGCGGGGGCGGGGTGGGCAGAGGACTTGCCTGTGAATGAGGAGTAAAGGGCAGTAGCTCAGAGCAGCGCTTAGCATATCACGTGGTCCTGGGTCTCCCTGAGTGTGCGGCTCCCACGGAGAGAGTTAGCAAATGTGACCCCAGTGTCAGAGCACTGAAACCCCCACCACCCCAGGTGTATTTTACTCATGGTGAGAGGTCTATGTGTCACAGCCTGGCATTTCGCAAAAGATGCAAAGCTGCCGGAGTCATGTCCAGGCCTGGCGGTGGAGGCAGAGATAGCAGGCGGGATGCTGATAGCTCCCTGGAGTGACTGTTACACTGGGTCAGCTTTTTGTGCGGTCCAGCTCTTGCCATGCTGGTATTTGCTTTCAAACACTTATTAAGGCAAGGACTTTAAGGTCAGCTGCACCAGGTTCAAATCCCACACCCCAGCTTTGCTGTGTGACCTGAAGCAAATCACGTGACCTCTCTTGAATCTAGACTATTACCTAATTAGGGAGAAGGAGCCCCTGGCACTGTGGTGAAGAGGTAGGGTGGGCAGGGCACTGGGAGCTTGGTGCCCTTGCAGCTGGCCTCAGGAACATCCCTGTGTGTCGGTCTCAGAGGCACCTGTGTTATGTTCCCCTTCTCGCAGGGGGGGAGGGCAGGTCCCCTCAGACAGCATACAGGCAAATCTTTCCATGTTCTTTAAGGTACTATGACTTCTGTTTGGGGCTGTCACAGCCCTTACTGTCCACAGGGGCTCTGCCAGTCCTGTGGTTTTTCTTTCTGGGTTGTGTCAGAAACCTGGTTAATGTCAGGTTGTGGTGCCCACAGCCTCAAGCCCTGTTCTACTCCTTCCACTATGGGCCTCTTGCTGGGCTGAAAAGAGTCTCCCAAAGCACACATCCGCCCTAGGCCTCGGGACATAGCCTTATGGGAAATGAGGTCTCTGCACATTGGATGAGCAGATGCGTCACTTTGGCGTGGGAGGTGGGGCTCACTCAGGGGCTACTGCTTCAGCCTGCAGAGGAACCACCCACACAGGGCACCTGTCCTCCTCCTGTGCCCCTGAGGACCCATTCACTGACTGCTGGTGGCTTTTCTGCCTGTTGGGGGGGGGGGTTGTTAATGCCCCAAGGATATGGTCAGATCCTGGGTGCAGGAATGGGCTGAACCCTGAGAGCCAGAACTGGCCTCTGATAACCAGTGAACTGGTACATCCTTGCATCCGTCTGTCTTCCAGTAGTCAGCTTCATTTTAGTCTGTCCTGTATTATAGCATGTGACCACCAGAGGGCAACAGAGACCATGCTCAGATTCTCCTGCCTGGGGCGGAGGGACCGCAGAGGGTACACAGGAGGCTGGAGACACACGAGTGACATAGGTGTCATGGGCAGAGTGTGTGAGGTCTTGTTCACTGGAAGCCTTGAGAACCTCATGGCTTTTGAAAAAGAAAAACTGCCCTGGGCTACGCAGAACCAAGACATCTGGTGGCCAAAGAGGGTAAGGCTGGGCCTCCAGTTGCCAACCCGCAGAGTCCAGGGTGGCCACTGGAGGGCGCATGCTCTCTGTCCTTGTCAGTTTTCCTCTGTTCTGTCTCTCCCTGTTACTCTTTGTGTCTGTCTCTGTCTATCTGTCTGTTTCTGTTTCTATCTCTGTCTATCTGAGTCTCTGTCTCTTTGTCTCTCTCTCTGCTTGCCTGCCTTTGTCTGTCTCGTGTGTGTGTGTGTGTGTGTGTGTGTGTGTGTGTGTGTGTGTACCCCTACAGAAGAACATATTGCTGAGCCATATGGGACAGGGACACACACTATGAGGCCCAGCTTGCATCTCAGGAAGGCAAGGACATGCATCCTGGTCACTCCCCACTCAAGAGAGGAGCCCAGCTACCGTCTTGTGGAGGCTGTGTTCTCCACAGCTACGTGTGTGCTACGTGGGACCCTGTCATAGCTAAGATGGTTTTCCCTCCAGTCTCAGGGGCATGTCTCACGGCAGTCCAGGTGCCTCTCTCATCCCTAGGCCCCTGTGGTGTCTCTGAGGCAGTCCCTGACAGCTACAGTCTTGAACAATTAGGAAAAAGAGGGAAATCCTTGAGCTGTGTCCACTTTGAAAACCCAGTGGCAACTTCAACGCCCAAGGACAAAGGCCAGGAGGGACTGGGATCACTATCGCCCTGGGTCCAGAAACAGAAAACCCCAGGAAGACTTGGTGGATGGAACCTGAGGGCTCAGGTGGCCCTCAGTTAGACTTTGCCTTGTCCTCAGGTGTGGTGTGTGATTTGGGCGGTTACTTTCCCTCTCTGGGAAGTTCTGTGGCAGCCTGGAGCAGGAGCCATGATCTGGGAGTCATGAGTGTTCCCCTCACCTGCCACTATCCTTTTGGTGATTCATGGGTTCCTAACACCTGCTTACAGTCCCTGCCTGCTGTGTGACGCTTGTCCTCTGTCAGCCTACCTTGCTGTCACGTTCACCTACTTATTATGAAGGGTTTCAATACACAGGACAAGAGAACCCAGACTGGGATGTGTATGCCTGCCATCTGGGTCCTCGTGGGCAGTTTCTGAGAGCTGAGCGCTGGTCCATCCTAGGCCGTATGTTCAGATGGATGTGATCTGTCACTGGGGGAGTACGAACTAAGTGCCTACTGTGTACACAGCCGTCACCAGACACTTGGGCCATGTCTGCGAGAGAACAGCAGGCACAGGGCCTTGTGTTCACTCAGAGAACATTCTGTCTAGGGAAGCAGGGGAACCCAGCCAACAAGATGCTTCAAACAGCCACGCGGGTCTCAGTCTTTCTCTCTGGGCTCCTGCACCTCAAAGTGGGAAAGTCTCCATGGCAAATGTCTGATAATATTCTGGGGGTTGCTTCCTCAGAATGAGGTCACAGGGCTGTCTCCAGAGAGCAGAGGGCTAGAGTCATGCCTTTATACACTGCCCAATGTTGGGGCATTTCTCCACAGCCAGGAGCCAGGGAGGTAAGAGGTAGAAGACACAGAGCTTCCTCCACAGGAGGCCCTACTGTGTGAGCTCAGTTTCTACCTTGGTGCTGGTGTATGTGTTTTAAACAGAGTCTCCCTTTGTAAGCCCAGGCTAACTCTGTGATGAGTTCCTTTTGCCTCAGCCTCCAAGTTCTGGGTGGAAGAATGCCAGGCTCTTGTTTAGCTTGGGTTAGCCCTGTGGCCCTTCCCTTCAAGCAGATGGTGAGGGTTGTCGATTTTGATTTATTTTTGAGGCAGGGGCTCAGGTGTGCCAGGCTGATTGTGAACTCACTATGTAGCTAAGGCTGACCTTGAACCCCTGATCCTGCTACCTTTACCTTCAAGTATAAGATGATAGGCTGTGTGCAATTGATAAATATGGCCTTGTGGTTGGCATATGACATGTAGAAGCTGGGGTTCCACCACTGTGCAGCTATGAAACAGAGGCCCTGCAAAGTCAGCACGCTCTGTGAATCCCCTAAACTAGGAAGCAAAGCCTCCTACCCAGGGTGTCTGAAAGCTTGTGATGATAGTCAGGCCAGCCCACACAGCCTCTGGGATGACAGAGTAGCCCTGAGATCAAAAGTGAGGCCCATGGGACACATGGCAACCTCTGACTTCCTCCTGGAGCTTGGTTCTCACCTGCCCAGTTTGAAATAGCTGGTGATTTCGTGCTGTATCCTGACTAGTCACCCCCGCCCATCTTGGCACTACAGCCAAACTATTTGATTCTAATCCCAGCTCTGGAGATGATGAGATGGTTCACGGGACAAAGGAACTTGCAACCAAGCTTGATGACCCAAGTTCTGTTCTGGAGATCTAACCATGGTAGAAGGAGGGAATCAACTCCCACGAATTATCCTCTGGTATGTATGCCCACACATACAATAAATAGCTGGATTTAAAAGTTGGATTCCACACACTGAGACAATGGGGATGTTCTATCGGGAACTCACCAAGGCCAGCTGGCCCGGGTCTGAAAAAGCATGGGATAAAACGGGACTCGCTGAACATAGCGGACAATGAGGACTACTGAGAACTCAAGAACAATGGCAATGGGTTTTTGATTCCACTGCTTTGTGGGAGCCTAGGCAGTTTGGATGCTCACCTTAAGACCTGGATGGAGGTGGGTGGTCCTTGGACTTCCCACAGGGCAGGGAACCCTGATTGCTCTATGGGCTTACGAGGAAGGGGGACTTGATTGGGGGAGGGGGAAGGAAATGGGAGGCGGTGGCGGGGAGGAGGCAGAAATCTTAAATAAATAAATAAGAAATAGAGTCTGTAAACATAAAAAAAAGACTACGAAATAAAAGAAAATCTAACTTATGACACAAAAATAAATAAATAAATAATAAAATAAAATAAAATAAAAGTTGGATTCCAGCTCCATTGCCTCACAACTGGAGACTGTGGCCAGCATTGATTCTGGACCTCAGTTTTCCCATCTGTGAAAAGGGACTAGTCAGGTATCTCTTCCCTCAGAGAATGGGGACAGTATGGGGCACTTAGGTAGGCCCGGGTACAGCCCCTGCTCTGCGCATGACACTGCGTGGTGACTACTCTGATTCCTCTCCCTTTGTCCCTAGGCTGGAGTCAGGGTGGCAAGCTTGGGCAGGGAAAGTGGGACAATGGCCAAAACAAACTCTGCCG